TATCGCTTAAACACAAGAATGCAAGACGGACACACCTGTTGTAATTAGATCAGAAAGTGATTCTCAATCGATCGGTCTAATATAAAGTGGATCTCCCCCAAGTTCTTCTGCCTATCACTTCAAGCAGATCTTTTGTTAATTGTGGGCATGGCAAAAGACCGAATAAAACCATGTTATCTAGAAATTTCATTTTATATTGGACGCTTGCCATAAATCGTAGGTCTTTCAAGAGGTACATTAAGAGAGGAGGGAGCGACTATAATTTTTCAGAAAATCAATTTTTTATTACCGTAAATGATTCTTGGAATATTTAACAATGGTATAAAAAAAATGACTAGGGGCGTGGCAAAATTTTAAATTGTCCGAAAATTGGATTTTTCGAACATAGTGTTATTACGGGTTCTTGAAGCTTCGACCGTGTTTTACTCGAAGCATGATTTTTCAAAACGGTACGCAGCATATAACTCCAATACTTCCTATTGACTTCTCTCCTCACATGAATTTATTATGATCTCAGCTGGCCTGGTTTGCTTGTGCTCAACCTAAAGGTCACAATTTTTGTGATACTTTGATCAAATTAGATATACCACCATGTCGTGGTGCAACAGTGAAAACTTTTGGAAATGATGCAGTTCGGAGCACTTTATCAGCCACTTTCCATACAACACCTTATTTCGAATAGTCGATAGTGTGGTAGGCGCAGTGTTTTCGCTGCTTAATCTTTGATTTCTTAATCGCCTAAGGAATGTTTGTGCCAACGAACACTTTGATAGAACTCATAACTAGGTTAGATCTTCTAAACTAGGCTAGATCGAGAAAATTTGACTATAGGTAGTTATTTAAAGGTCTTTCAATGTCAAATCAAAGTCAAATTGATCCACAGGGTAGCTCTAGTGTTAAGTAATTTCTTCCTTGCTTTAGATTTAAACTTACTATTATCCCTGCTTTACGAGAACAGTTTCTGCGTTGCCTTTTTTTAATACTTTTCAAGATTCATTTTTTCTTTTTTAATACCTAAATGTATGCTTTAAATTTTCCTTGAATTTCCTTATATGAATACGTTTTGCTTTCATGCAGTACACAGTGATCGTCCCCCTTAAAGTACTACATATCTACAAGATTAAAGCGTTTCGAAAGTGCATGAAGTTGTTTCGCCCACATACGCTGGAATTGGGGACTAATTAATGCTACCTTCGTTAGATTTAATATTTTATTCGGTGTTTTTTCTTGCTAAATATTACTCTGTATTGTCCTTAACCGCCGTTTGAAATTTTCGATTTCAGTTAGATTGATAATAGAAAAACTAAAAAGCTCCATCCAATACAGAAGTTGACGTGTTTTTCTTAGTATTACAAATCCAATATTGAAATAATTATGTTATATATTATATTAAATGATACCCAATCAGTTAATGTGAAGTTACTACTTTTTCATAAGCACACATATGCGCAGCTTGAAATATATCATTAGTGACAGATGGGAATTGCGGTGTATTCGTATTGTGCCCACGCCAATGTGTATTAAATATTAATTGCTTATTTTCATCTTCATTGTTGTAAAATCCATTTGCTATCTTATTTGTGTGTGCAGCAGACACAGAAACTAGTATGCGATGAAGCTCCTATATAAATCTACGCAAGATATTCGATTAATTAACGCTTACAAAGAGAGTCGTACAAATGTTATTTAACTTGGATGTCGTTGCAATTTGTGATTTCTCAATTCATTTCTAATGAAGATGTTTATCCCGCCACTACTGACTATTAATAAAGTATTATAGAAATTGTACGGCTGGGTGTCTGCGAAAACTTTTTGTAGCAGAATAGACTGATGCAGCGCATCAGAAGATGGAGTAGGCGTACTTTGCGTTGTAACGAATAAGTGCATACGGATTCCTGAAGACATTTACAATTGTAATCTGTAAGACTTTATTTATCTCTACACAAATTGTCACAGAGAGCTCTCCCACGGCTTATTTCTTACACTTCTCCCTCGACACTAATTCAGGGAGTGGAAAAGTTTCGAAATCAACGAAATTTAAAGACGTGAGGTGTTCGTCGGGAAGTCGGGTGCGACTTTGTTTGGCTAACATTTTGCAAACATGAATAGTTAGATTGAATCGGATTTGATTTAAATGTTCCTGTATTTTTAAGCAAATGCTACAGCTTTATAGGAGATCAATTAGTAAAACACTTATTGCATTATCGTCTCCCGTCATATGTTATTCTAAGGAGTTGTGAGTCGATAAGTTTCTACGGTTGGCAGAGTCAAAAAGTTTTAAAGTTCTTCTTATGAAAGTGTCTAGAGAGAAGGCCTGAAGCAGAAGATTAAAATGTGTGCGCGTGTGAGGATAAAACCCAAATCGACAACGACAACAATGCAATAATAAAAAACAAGTAAAAATTCTTTATATGAGAGGGTGTTCAAAAATCTTCTCAGCCGTTCCGAAGTTTTCATACCACTTTAGAATGCCGTAATACTACTAATTGGTCACTTTTTCCGATAAATTTTGAAAATAACAGCTTTTTCCATATAACAATTTTTCAGAATAGGGCGTTATATAGGGAGTGATGGGAAAAGTGAACCGGTCCGAACCATATTCGACAGCGTACGTCGATAGGTTAAAATGCGTCACTGTACCAAATTTCATCAAAATATCTAAAAAAATGCAACTTATAGCTTGAATACAATCTTACATGGACGGACATCAGGTGGACAGATGGAGAAGCAGGCTCAGAGCAATTCATATAAAAAAAAAGATGGGTCTATCTTAAAGCTTTCTACATGTTATACACGTCCGCATTAACCAAATAGACTCTACCCTGTATAACATAAGTGGTGTAGGGTATAAAAGTGATCACCATTCATTTCATTTTATTCTCATATTTCATAAAGAAATTAAATCAAATTGAAATACGAACACCGCCAGCCTGTACGAGCGAATTAATAGCTAAGTACATATTAAACATATTCCTATTTCAGTATGAACTATGTTAGCGTTCTCTGCAGCAAGCAACTCAAGTGTATATCTTTTTGCACGGATAAAGTGCTTCTTATTTCCATTGAGACCACGATCCAAATCAAAGATTAGCCCAATGTTTTGTTTGTTTAAATAAATTATGCAAATTTTCAAATTATCCTACTTAGACTATTCTAACCAGGCGAGCTTCTGTCAAAACACCCCCTTTCGGGGTGTTCAGGGATTGAAATGGGAAAAACTAACAAACCTACGCGTAGTGGTTGCAATCAACATTCATTGAACTAATATATATAACTTATATATATATATATATGTATATATGTATGTATGTATAATAACATATAAACATATATATTTATGTATATATGGTTTTTTCGAAGCTTTGTTTTTTTTTTAGACGATTGACGACAATCTTGCATAGGTTTGTCACCCACATAATATCAGCGCACATGTGGCAATATTTCTTTTCCCTGTGAACTGTTGGAAGTTGTGTTATAAATTTTAGTCATTTTCTTATTCTTTTTTTCAGTTTCTTGCTTTGATTTGTGTGCATTAGACGCGAAAAAAGAAAGCAACTTAGCACAAATCTTCGAACGAATGCATGCATGCATGTGTAAATTTTGTTTTATCTTTTCTCAATCGTAATGATGTTACCATGTTACCGTAATTTGTTAGTATATAAATTTTATTTATACATATAGACTTCACAAGTATAAGATAAGTCGATTTTCTTTGCCAAGTCGTTTGTAAATTATTGAAAATCACGTCAGGGGCGAGCAAATATTTTTAAGGCTAAAATTATAAGCTGAGGGTGAGTTCGCATAAATAACATTTGGTTTTGCGTAAGCCTTTGATTAGATATATTTTAGTGTTACGCTTAAGTATTCATTAAATTGCGTTACGACGTGAAAACGTATCTCTTGAACATGTGTATGTTGAAAGTGGCCTTAACTTCATCGATTTGGAACCTTAAGATTATGGACACTTTACGCGTAGAATTTAATGCTGATCAAGAATATGTACACTTTATAAGGTTTTTGTATATTCATCCATGAATATTGCGGAACTGAAGTAACAGAAATTTGGTTTACTTCGAACGACTTAGAGCATCTTCGACTTCTGTGTTAAATATATAACAAATAGCAAGCAAAGTATGCAAGGAAAGGTAAGATACTGCTAAGAAAGTAGGTCGACCAAACCGAACTAATTGCACTGAGTGGCTGATTAAACGATGTTTCCGTTTGATTGCTTTTTTCTTTTAATGTTTACTCCAAACATAATATTTTTAGAGCGATTGTGAGTAGCCTGAGAATGCCCAGCATCTGATTTGAGCGCAATCAAGGAGATAGATAAACGCATAGTTTTGTGAAATGTACGTCCATCAGGCCAATTGAAAATATGCGCACTTTATAAAGCCTGGCTGTTAAGCTGGAGTTAAGTTTGTGCAAGTGCGGTATTTGTGGGAATAATATTTCTTGTCTATTATATGCATCTCTCTCCCTCTCTGAATTATCCTTTTATTTGATTCCAATCTAATTAGCCTATAAACAATAATATACCGGATATATGGATATGTAAATGAAATGTAAAATTAACGATTTTATAAAATCGTTATGGATTTTGATTTTTTTCTATTTCTTGTATAGGCAACGGGCAATAGGACATGTGCAAAACGTGAAGAGGTATTTTTGTGGACCAGTTGTATTTGCCTTTATATAGATGCCCACACGCGCGTATATAGCTTTCTATATACATAGCTATTGGGTGTGTATGGGTGTGTGTGTGTGTGTGTGTGTAATAAACAAGAAGGAAAAACAATGATTAAGAATGGGCAACGCACTGTATATCCATGTTTACGTATACGTTAACCAAACGACTTGCTTTTGCGGTAATCACATTTAGAGAAATATGTTAAGCACTGCTAAATATCAAGCACTTTGTTCACTTTTATTAATTAGAGTTGTTGGTAAAACTTTTACTTAAATTTTTAAATGAAAATTTTTAGTATTAATTCACTTACCGATACGATCGAATAATTCACCACCGGCTGCATATTCCAGGAATATATATTCAATGTGTCCACTTGAACGATTACCGTAAAATCGGAGAATGTGTTGGTCCTGTAACATTCTTTGTATGCATATTTCTTTACGAACGGATAATACAGCATCCGAATGCTTTTTTAAATCGACCATTTTCATAGCAACAGCTTCACCGGTTTGACGGTTAATCAACAATTTTACTCTGTTAGTATATAGAAAATACAATAGAATAATTTTATATATATATATATATGTATATATATATTTATATAGGTACATATAGAAAGGAATATACATTTAAAAAATTTTTGAAACGAAGAGAAGGCATGTTTTTAGTTTCTCTGATAAAAGAGAAAAACTACCATTAAGAACTATCCACCACCACTATTGTATGTATTGTATGTATACCGCATATAACGTATATGAGTTGTATACGCGTTAAGGATACACACAATAATACTACTTTATCTAATGCTTAAACACGGAAGAAGAGAACGAGAGAGGGAGAGCAAACGAAAGGAAAGAAACTTATGCACTTATAATATTCCTTTTATATATTTATGCATACATATGTATATATATATATATATATATATATGTATATATATATGCCTACATTTCTGTGTCCTTTTTTCGACTTTCAGGTTTCACTACTTGATTTGATTCTTTCTAAAAAAAAAAAAAAAAAAACAGTTTTCATTATTTAAGGTACAAACTTGTTTGTGTACTAATATTATACGTGTAGTATACCATGTTGCATATATTCAGCAAATAATTTTCTCTTTTACCCTTAGGCATGCGCCTGACGATGTAGTGTCTTCATTGTATGATTATACGAGTATTGTAGGTAAATGTTTACATAAGCATCTAAGGTATACATAACGTGGTAATAGTAGGAAAATGTGTAGATATTTCTTTCTGCTTTCTTTAAAATGCCGGAAGGAAGTGTTTGAAAGATTTCCGGTTTATTGGCTCATTTCTCGGTTTTTCTTTTTCAAAAGCGTGAGCGTGACATCTCCATATAGGCAGCTACCTGTGTGCATCACACATGGACTTGGACTGCAAGTACAATCTAAAATGTAATTTACTTCGCTTTAAAGTATCCACCAAAGAAACTTGATTATCACAAACGATAGTACACTGCAAGCAACAATTTCTCTTTTTTTTTTTTCTTCTTCTTTGGTTTTAAAACCAACTGCAAGACTACACTTTAGTAGTAACTAAGTTTGTATTCAGAAAAGTTAACATGATATGTCCTTTCTAAATTTTCCTTTATGAAATAATTATTCATTCATAGCACCATTTTAAAGATTTTAATTAATTTAAATTTAAAATGTTCTTAACATCCATATAATTACTCTCAGTGTAACCCATAAAATTGGAACCAAACAGTAATTAATTGTCAAGGTTTATATGATATCTCTTTTTCAAGAAACTACCCACTATACAAGAAGGAGGATACATTCATTTTGACCAAACCTTTGCAATGCAGAGAAGAAGGCCTTAGAAAATCCATAATATGTAAAATGCATCATAAGCATATCCGTCTGTTTGTCCATCTACTTGTATAAATTTACATATTTTAAATTTTGCACTTTGCAATTTCGTTTTCAATGCAACGATTCTTTAAAATAAGGCATTATAAGGGAGATTGTTGAAAAAGTGGTCGGATATTAAACCGTTTTCAATAGGATTTGTCTTTGGGCAAAATGATGTCAGTTCAGTGTGTATATACCCTTGTAATCCGCCTAATAAACATTCTCCTGCTCGCACATATAAAATGAAGACATCGTCCTCAAGTTTGGCGCAAACATTGGAAGTACTTGCAAGCAAGATGGTATTGAAAGTGGGAAAACTCGGTCGAAGGACATGCGCTCAGTACAGTGCCAGCGGACCCTCTCTTCGAAAGAAAACGAATGGCCCTTGCTTGCTCGAGTTTTCTTTTATGCCGCGAATGCCTTTCGCGAAATTCGAATTTGAGCTTTGAGAAAAGCAAATCGTCAACACACTTCCGCACAAGAACGAGGACATCGTGTTTCTCTGGATGAACACGTGTCGCAATACATTTCAAGCTCAAAACGTCAACTAAACTTTCTCTTTCCGATTCATGGTTTGGCATTGAAATTCAAAGTCACTTCCTTCTCGTCTAAATGACGATTTTCCGATTTGAGTCGGATTTTATCGATAATTTCCTTACCAGATATAAAGGTTTCGGCAAAGCAAAACGAAGCTGGCTTTCAGCTATTCCAACGTTTGCTTTTGGTACTTAGTTTGTCCTAGACATACATCACGCTTACGTAAGAAACGCAGATGTCGTTCAAGCTTATGAGCAAGTAACTCAACTTGCAATTACAATGCAGATCCTAAAGCAAGTTCTAAATTTTAATGTTAGCAAAAACTGACATAAACTGAAACTGGCATAAGCAAATAGAAAGTTATTTTCTCTTAGTGTATTTGTTCGAAAGTCGAAAGCCCCGTTGTCTATATGCTGTGCAATGGCAAAATCCAGAACTCATTTTGAGATCTTAATAAATTATTTTTCTGAAATTAAGGACGACATCCACTAAAAGTTTTTAACAGATTTTTATACTCCACACCCCTCCTTGTGGCGCAAGGATATATTAAGTTTGTGCGCATCTATGCAGAAGAACTTGAGATAGACTCACCCTGCACCCTACTTGTAGTACAAAGATGCAGTAAGTTTGTGCGGATCTATGCAACACCCAAAAGAGCTTGAGACAGACCGACCCATCTTTTGTTATACCGACAGATTCACAATCAGTTTCTGCATCAATTTCAGTTTATTTGCTCGTTTGCTGTTCTTGTGCTTGATGAAATTTGATACACCAACGTGGTTGGTCACGGCTAAGCTTGTCTGTCTGTCTGTCCGTCTGCATTGTTTTCTTGCGTTCAACCTACAGGTCACAATTTTTGAGATATTTTGATGAAGTTAGGTACAACGACATGTCTTGGCCCAACGGTGAACGTTATTAAAAACAGTTCGGATCGAAAAACTTTTTCAACCATTCCCCATATAAAACCTTATTTCAGAAAATCATTACACGGCTGACTGTGTCAAACGAAATGCTGTAAGGCATTTAATGGTTGGCCGCGTCCCACTATAATGTTTTATATCTATATTTTTTTTTTGAAACATATTCAAGCTTGATTCCCAAGAAGAGCACATGAAAAGGTGGAAATAATTCGATCCATATTGTCCAGATAATAAATAAAACAAAAAGTTTGCGACTTCATTTTTTCAAGATTTTAAAAAAGCAGCTAACAATTCAATATATTATAATACAACCCTTAATAATCTTGTGAGAACTCATTAATGGAATTCAAAATAACAGAAAGAGAGAATAAATTTGAAGATGAACAGAATGATATCAATTTCATCATAAGCGAAGGTAACAAGAAGGTTAATAACGGGGGTGAACAAGTGCGCTGAAAAGATCGAAATAAAGGTGTAGAAGGTGTAGAGGTTCATCAAATATCGATAAATAGTAAAATATGCATGAAACGATCTAAAACGCAATTTGAAAGTGACAAGTGGCTTTAATGGGTATTATTCAACCGGAGGGAAGAAAAGCAAAAAAAAAACTAAAATAAAATAAAACGGGAGGAAAAGTCGAAAATTCGCAAACGTCTTTCTTCAATAATTTCGTTTGGAATTGATTACACTCTAGGATGCAGCGTACGAGACGACAGGTTAGGAGTTGGATATCCGGTATTTTTGAACCTGTAGAGTGTGGGATTATTTGAGCACATCTCTTGTACATATATACATACTTAAGAGAAAATTTAATTTAACAAATTTAATCTAAGAGAATTAAAGACGTGACGTAGAGTAGAGATAAAGTCTCTGTGCCAATTTGACACACGCGCTATATATATTTTGCATCCATCTCTCTTCTAGTTAAACCTTAATGATTCTGTATACAAATAAGTGAAAAATAAAAAAGGAATGAACCTTAATGCTTCTTGTTAGCACTTGTCATAAACACTCAGTGGTTTAGTCTACACTATAAGATGGCACTATCCAAATAACATAGGCACGTTGATATACTACACTAGGAGCAGCAGCATTCGCAGAGGATACACGCAATGTTCTCAACATTTATATGATTTTGTTCAGAAATGAGTGAAAGAGAATTGAAGATTTCATTCAATGATAAATTAAATTGACCTGTAACTCGATTTTATTGATACGAATATTGACAAATAAACGCCTACCTGTCATATGGGGGCCAATTAACCTAGAAAGTTGCAAAACATCGATAAACATCGTCATTCGGCAAGATATTGTTATGGTATTCATTCGGAAGTTGTTAAGTAGAGTCAGTTTAGAATTATTGGAATTTAAATTGATATGAGGGCACTTGATAGATAATTCGAAATAATAACTAGTTGAATTCGAAACTAACATTTTTATTTGATCGATCACTCGGAGGTTGTTTGCTATATGCGTGACATGATGGTGAATAGAAAGAACTGAAGAGAGGGGAAGAGATAAGGGTGTGACAGTAACAAACCTACTAGGTGCGTACCCATCGCATCGGTAGGTGCGTTATGCCATTACTCACTAAGCACTCAGTATAGGCTAGGACCAAAGTAAACTTTACCGAACTGAGATTTGAGTTCGCGAGTTCTTTGGACAATTTTCAAGCGAAATATTTCTTTAAGGAACAAAACTTTTTAAAATAAAAGTTTCGCAAACGAAAAGCTCCTCCCGATGCACACCCATATTTAAGTTAAATTTTCCGGAAATCGTTACCTTCTTGTTATAGGCGGTACGCTAAAAAAAAGTTCGTCTTATGTTTATAGAAAGTCGTATATTAATATTTTGAATTTTTCTACACAAATTTCAAAAAATGTCCACAATGCTAATGCACATAAAGTAATTTTACCGCTTAAATGCAGTCTTTTTTTCTACTTTTTATTATTGTGTTGAACACTTGACAGCGGTGTCCAAAGAGTTTTATGGCAGGTCCAACACTTTATGCGACTTAAAAATACGATTTTTCAAAAATACCATCTAAAATTTTAATGGCGTCCGTCGCATCATTGACCTTTATTAAAAAACGTTTTCTAGTAAAACATGCACGATTTTTTTTTGGTTGCTTAGTAAAAAGGTTTTTGGCCCAATTTTGCTGAAATCTTGCCAATTTTTATTTATACCCTATACAACTTGTGACACAGAATTATATTAAATGTATACGAATGTATACAACGACGTAAAGGACTTGAGATGGAGCCACCTTTTATTTACCGGAAAACTTCTAAATCGATTGCAGCTAATGAAAGTTTGTTGAAATTTGATACACCAACGTTGTTCGATCCAAAGACGAACTCTATTGAAAATGATTTAGATCGAACCACCTTTTCGCGCTCTTCCGCTATGACTTTTGTCGAAAGGTCATTATATGAACAACTGCATGAAGCGAGACGGTGTAGCGTATTTAATAGTGAGCTGTAGTGTTTTTACTTGTTTTAAATCAATATCTTTAAAAAAACTTACATCGAAGAACTTTAAGGTCAATCAGTGGGAATTGAGGTATGTTAATAGTACGGCCTAGGTGATGCTATAAAAAAAATCTATATTTCCCCAACCACGCGCGAGGCCATTTTTTTTTTTTTTAATGATTATTAGATAAAATTTTTAAGTATTCGAATAAATGCATGAAGAAATTTATTCTAATAAAGTAATTATTCTCTCGCGGATAAATTCGAGGAGATGACGCACAAAACTCGTTAAAAAACTTTAATGAAAGCAGAGAGCATAGCCTAATTGAGAGCATTTATTATTATCACTTCTTATGAAAATGGATGAACGAGAAATAAGAATATACAAGTATGCATAAATTTGCAAGATAGTGATTAACGGAATCAAATGCTTTACTATAGGGTGAAATACATACGAACTTGATTATTGTGCTCGCTAAGATCGTGAAAACTGTCCCTTCGCTAATATAAAGCGTTTTAAACATTTCTAGTTCATGGCCGCCTATAGGGGCAACAAAACATCATTGCGAAATTACATTTTGCTTTAACTTTTATGTATCATGCAATTATGTTGAATATATCGTGCAACTTAAAGGTTAAATATCAAAGCAAGCGGAATGTTTTGGCCTAAAACTTTCTCGTTTGCATTTACGATCGACCACACAAAGCAATGGAAAGATTTTTTTATGTACGAATATGTAACTGTTGGTTTTCAATTTTTTTTTTTTTGCTCTTTTTCAGCTAAAAAAAAATATAATAAGTAATTTTTTATAATGATTGCAATCAAAATATGTTTGCTTTTTTTACTTACTCCCCATAAGCACCTTCGCCTAATGTTTGAGCCAAAGTCCAACCTTCAACAAATTCACGATTATTATTATTGTTACCGTTGCTATTGCCTGACATTGTTGCAATTATAGAGGCACTCTTATCATCATCAGTAGAGTTATTTTCGTTGCCAGCCGAGTTTTTGCCAGCTTCGTCAACATCTGTTGTTGGTGCCAATATTTTGGCGGACATAGTGTAGATAAAAATAAGGCACAAGACAACTTTCTTTCACTTTTCTCTATTTCGATAAGGGGCAATAATAACAACAATCTTATATGCCACGAAAATGAACTGAAAAATGATATCTGGTTTTATTTTTCTTTTTTATCCAATTTTAATTTTTCTTTTAGATGATTTCGATGTCACTAATTTTTCAAATTTGGCTGCTGTACCGAGTAAGAAATGGCAAACAAATTCGAAACCGGTTTTACTATGTATACTGCTTGGCAAACGCTCAAAAGAGCTCAAAAGAGCGGCGTTAATGCTGTTGATGGTAAAAAGACTATATCTATATGTTTCTGTAAATGTGTATTTGTGCATATATATATGCGTAAATGTTTGTTTATGTGTGAGTGTATATGCACCTCTATATGCGCCTATAATCGATAAAAGGCTAGAAATATAGTACAAATGATAGATGTATGTGTTTGTACTTTTTGTTCAGTTGAATGCTTGAATAATGTGTCTGGCCTTCAAGTCATAACGCTGATGTACAGATGGTATTTTCGATGGTTAGGTAGTTTCGTTTAGTTAGTGGATGGCTGCTTTGTTTGGTTCAATGGCTGACTGAGTGACAAGACAAGCCGACAATAAGGAAGATTGCTACGTTTTGTATTATGATAGAGTGATTGAGATTTTTATGTTTTGTTGCTGATATTTCTCTTGTTGTTTTTATTGCTCTTAAGCATAATTTCACAAGGAAAAGATACGTGTTGCTCGGTCTGGCTTTCCTTTTTCTTTTAATTTATACGATTAATTTAAATTTAAAGGTGTTGGTTGCTTATATATCTACTTTTTGAAAGCTTTGTATTGTTGAACTCAATTATTTGCTGCAAAAATACCAGTTGACTTTTTGATAAGGCATCATTTGTTATTCGCGATACTGATTATTATCTGAAAAAATGAAACATGAAAACAACCATTGTTAGAAAGAGAAATAACAATAAAATAAATATAGTAATTTTTTTTTTTAATTCCTGGTTCTCTTTCGTTTTTTTTCGGTTTTGAATATATTATCGAAGCATTTATGAAAAATAAAATTTGAAAGACAAAAATTACTAGTAAGGTGAAATTGTTTATAAAATAAAAATATTTAGTGCTTCAAATCAATTTTACGGCAGAAGAATATATAACAAGCAACGCCGCGATAATCGGAAATAACTTTTAGTATCACCATGAATTTGCCGGTTCCATAGGTCTTGGTAGACTTTTTGCACAATATTCGCTCAATTGGTCAGTTTATTCTAGGGTCATATACATAGATCCTGTGTTCCATATTGTTCTCATTTCAGAAATCACACTTTCGCAGATATAGAAAAGATCGAAAAACTCACTCTTGTATATCCACGAAAACACGTGTAATTATGCGTCAATTGAATATAATGAATATATTGACATGAAACTCTACATACTACTACTACAAACTCTAATACTATTACACAATAGTACTAAGCAGGAACGACAGAAGAAAATTGCTTCATGGTTTTATAGTATCCGCAAAATTGAAATGAAAAATTCAGGTTATTTTATGTTCAAAATATTGCAACAGGATAATAAATATTCATTTAATTAAAATGCGGGTTAATTTGCGAAATTAAAGGCACCAATTAACGTGCTGAGGGTCACTCACAATCAAAGGATCCTGTATCACATCACCCAATAAGTAGCCGGTCTGACACATATATGGCAACACTATTTACTGATGCATATGATTTCTGGATAGTGCCAGTCTTCAAACAATGCATTTCCAAATTTTATAAGGCTTGGACCATCAGTGTACAAGTTACATTTGTGTTAGTGGCAATACTTTTTTGGTTGCTTTGGAGGTTTTTCGATGGTTGCCGTCCACTCGACTGACCGCCAATTCGACTCTGCAGTGTATTGATTAATCCATGTCTTAAACGCGGCTCCACCATCAAATTCGCTCGGCCAGATCGTTCATAGTATCATCGGGGTTCATACGACTGCGTTAAAATATGCAAACTCCTCACAAACTTTTTTTTTTTGGACAGACAGAAGTCGCCGTAACATCTTTCTAGCCAATGCCTAATCAACAAACGAAATTCAAATTTTTCTATTTTTTTCAAAATAACAAAAGTAGCGTCACTAAAACAACCGTAACCTATAAACAAATTGCAAGAACATCATGAAATTTCAAAACGTTTGAAAGTTGATGCTATCCATTGATCGTATGGGTCTGTCAACAGTGACGCCAGAGATATGTCAAACACGAAACTTATTGAGTGATATGTTACAATAAATTTATTACGCTTGAGAACGATATACTCCCGATAAGTCGACGATTTCACATCAGTTTTGCCACATTTCCGCCCCTACTCCGCACTACTCTTGAAACTACGTCATTAAGAAGAAAATAATGTATAGATTTTAAATAACAAGCAAACATTTGCAAATGCAGTGCCTTTGTCTAGTTTGACGCATTTATCCATAGGCTTGAATACACTTGAATTGTTGCAAAAATTTTATTAGTTTTTTGCTGACATCCTCGATAGGACGAACAGCTGAACAACAGCTGTTACCTTATACTTTACGAACTTTAATGAAATTTCGGTGGCCGAAATAATTATCATTTGTCCTTTTTTTTTTTCTTTTTTTTTTTTTTTTTTTTTGATAAGCAGCACTTTGGCTTCTACGTTTATTCGACAAAAACACTTAAAATTCTTAAAGGTATACACGTTTACCTTTTATGCGTTAAATACTACTATATAGGTATGTATACAGACACAAAAATATATGTAAAACCAAAAACTAAAAGTCTTTTACAAAAGAAAAATACCTGGTCATGTATCTCAATAAATATCAAAAAAGAGGAGTAAATTTCGAAAAAAAAGGAAAGAAAAAAGTATTTATGCTCCTATGAGAGTAAAAATAACTCTTCGAAGCGTGTACATTATGTACGAACATTCAAAGAGTTTAATGATTTCTTTAGTGTTGTTTGCATGTTCGTGTTTACATTTAAATTTGGTTGGTATGGTCATGGTTTTCATATTTTTACCTAACTACATAATAAATTGATGTGAACATGCGCACTTTCGTCTACGTTCAACTATTAAAAACGAAACTAAGGATTATGAATTCACAATTTTATCTATAGTGCACACATAAAATTTTTATATATTGTGCTACGGTGTTAACGAAACAAATATATGAATAGAGTTCATTTACTGGCAAGGCAAATCAGTTGGCAAAAAAAAAAAGTCTCGTATTTTATCTGCAACCCTAAATTTTTCCCAGTATGACTGTTCAAATCATTTGTTTAGTTTAAATATTTCGACATACATAAGTAGTAACTATACCCAATCTAGTAACTATACGTCAATCTAATAATCAATGGTGTTTATGTAACCAAACCGAACTAAGTCCTCCTACAGTCTTAAGTTTGTTCAGTTGAAAGGTTGGAAATATATGTATTAACGCTTATAACATCTACATATAAAGATATATACAGTCAAACCTGTTTTTGTTCGGTATTTTTTTATGCGCTTTTTTTTGTGCGATTCTTTTTGTGCGAATCTTTTTTTTGTGCGATTCTTTTTGTGCGATTTTTTTTTGTGCGGTATATGAATATCGACACATTGAATTTCGCCGAGAGGTTAGGTCAATCTGAACTGTGTTGGCATCACTTTTTTTGCTATCAGTGTGTATGTACACATTGCAACAGCCATTTTCATACCTATTGCATCAGCCTATTTCATTAGGCATGCTCAATGTTCTTATGCATATATTGCATCAGCCAATTTCAATACACACTGCGCCATCTAATAACTTTAGTTAATTGCTGACCTTTTAACCATTAACACAGGATTAATTTTATAGTGAGATTAAAGGTAAATTAATTGTTTTCCCTATTTAGATATAGTTTTTTTATGATTTTTATTTTATTTTTAGTTATAAGTACTGCCTTAAAATGAATAATCGTAACCAAAAAAAAGTGAAAAGAAAGACAATTACATTAGAAACTAAAATTGCAATATTAAATAGACTAGCAGATGGTGAAGGATCCACAGCTCTTGGTAAAGAATATAAATTAGGTGAATCCACTATAAGAGCAATACAAAAACGTGCAAGTAGAATAAATGAATCTAAAAATTCTGCAACAAACGAAAGTGGTAAAAGAATATCATATTCTAGAAATATTTTAATAGAGAAAACGGAAAAGGCCCTTATATTTTGGATTAACGACTCAACTCGAAAACGAATCCCCATCGATGGAGAGTTCATCGCAAAAATATGCGCGTTTTGAACTACGACGAGTAGTACATATTGCGTTATGTACATTTTGAAAATTTCTCCTTGTATAAAATGAGAAATTAAAATTTTTTTAAATGTTTCAATGTGTAATTTAATTATTTATTTTGTTTGGAAAGCACTTTCTTGCTATTTCGTAAAGCTTTGACATATTTTCTAAGTGAGACTTTTTTTATGCGGTCCCTCTCTGCCGCATAAAAAAAATTTTCTTTAATATGCTGTGAAAAATTATTTCTTATAGCTATTTATGAAGTTTTTGAATATTTTTTTTTGTGCGGTTTTTTTTCTGCGGTCCCTATCTACTGCACAAAAACAGGTTTGCCTGTATATAACTTTTTATACGGTAAACCAATTATGGTACAGGGTATATAAGGTTAACGCGGACTTATGTAACGCGCAGAAAGGCTTAAGATAGACCCATATTCTATCGTACTGATCGATTCAGAATAATTGGATCGATGTAAGCCTCTCTGTCCGTTTGATGTAAATTGGTGTTCACGTCGCAGTTTCCAATTTTTAGGTTATTACGACGTGTTTTGACTCAAGGACGGTGGATAACGGTTTGGATCGGTCCACTTCTTCGGCCGCTCTCCATGTTTTGAGATGATGTTATTTGGCAAAATTGCAACTTTCAAAATTTCTTGACAAAAGCGGCTATATAATAACATTTCGACATTCGAAATTGGTGCGAAAACTTTAGACGGGGTCTGGCCATTTTTAATTGTATAATTTTCAATGCTTTATGATGAAAACCAAATCGTAAAATTGGACCATATCGGTCCATTTAGCCTACTCTAATAAGGGTCTT